CATTTGCCTGGTTTTATGTGGCGCTGGGGGTCAAGCCCGGGGTTTTGTCAGGCAGGCCCCCTGCTGACCCAGCTACAGCCGCTTGTCTTTAAGTTTTGAGGCAGTGTCTTCCTATGTAGCTTAGGTTGGTCTGTAATTTTTTTTATTTTATTTAAGATTTATTATTTTTTGACAGGCAACAGTGGTGCACACCTTTAATCCCAGCACGAAGAAGGCAGAGGCAGGCAGATCTTTGTGAGTTAGAGGCCAGCCAAAACTATACAGCGAAACCTTGTCTGGATCAAAACAAGAACAAAGGGACACATTGTTGGCTGGCCTTGATCCTCAGCAAGTGCCTTTATCTACTAAGCCATCTCTCAGTCCTGGCCTGGTACTCTTTAGGTATTGCAGGTTTGCCTGGAGCTCACAGCAGTTCCTCCTGTCTCAGGTTCAAATAAATGCTGGGGTTACAGGCAAGAGACAGCTGGATGGAAAGGTCATAGGTATTTGCTTGTTTGTGGCCTCATGCAGGCCAGACAGGTGTACTACCAGAGGTATGGCCACAGCCCTCATTTTGCTTTTTAACTGTTTGTATGTTGGCTGAGAATGTGGCCTGCTTAGTAGAGTACATGTCTCACGAAGGAAAAGCCCTTGGTTCCTTCCCCAGCAAGGCAGAAGCGGGCTGTGAGGATGCACACCTGTAACCCTGCCCTCTGGAGGTGGAGGCAGGAGGATCAGAAGTTCAGGGCCAGTCTGGGATCTATGAAGCCCTGTCTGGAGGGCAAATATCTGAGGTGGTAGTAAAGGTAAAGATCTGAGTTAGATTCCTCGGATCCACGTACAGAAGGAAAGAACCCATTCGCTTCAAGCCGTCCTCTGACTCCCACGCGCATGCAGTGTGCGTATGAGCATGCACACACACAGTATTTAAGAAGTCTCTGCAGTTTTGGACTTTTATTTATTTTTGTATTGCTGGGGATCAGACTCAGGGCCTTGCTAGTGACAGGCAATCAACTCTGCTAAATCCTTAGGGCCTGATAATCTTTTTAAGGGATTAAAATGCCACAGGCCCTGATTGCTTTTTCGTCTTTAGATTAGGGTATTATTTGTATCTTCTGTAAGTGTTTTTAAAAGTTATGAGTCTGCTGCCTTTTGGTGGCCCAAGTCTGGCAGTAGCGCCTGAGTTAAGTAAGAACAGAGGGAGCCCCGTCTGCTTTCTCCTCCCTGGATCGGCTCCCACTGGGCAGAGCTACCTCCGGGGGGTGTGTAAGCTTTTCTCCTCCCAGTGACCCCAGCATTCCCACATCTCTGTCCAGGTTCCTGTCCTTCGAATGGTGGAGGGTGACACCATCTATGATTACTGCTGGTATTCTCTGATGTCCTCCACACAGCCAGACACCTCCTAGTAAGTGGTGATGTCCCTCATGTGCACTGCACTGTGGCTCCCATCCTATTACCCAGCCCACACACCCAGTTTCCAGAAGGGCTACTGGGAGGGAGGAAGGGAGAAGGTGCTAAGTGTGTCCTTCTGACAGACGTTGAGAGGGCTGGCACTTGGCTCCCTTTTGGCAGTCAGAGGCAGGTCTGAGCATCCGTCCGTGTTTCTCTCAGTGTGGCCAGCAGCAGCCGGGAAAACCCGATACACATCTGGGATGCATTCACTGGAGAACTCCGGGCTTCCTTCCGCGCTTACAACCACCTGGTACTGACTTCCCTGTCCAGCCCTGTGCTCACTGTGCCCTTGGCCTCCTTTTTGGAAGACAACTGAAGCTTTGCAGGCCTGTTTCCAGCCCTTTCTTGCCCCTAGGATGAGTTGACAGCAGCCCACTCGCTCTGTTTCTCCCCGGATGGTTCCCAACTCTTTTGCGGCTTCAACCGGACTGTGCGAGTCTTTTCCACATCTAGGCCTGGCAGAGACTGTGAGGTGCGAGCCACATTTGGTAAGCCTCCATGGTGGGGAAGATGAAAGAGCAGCTCCTGCAAAGGGACCTGAGCGAGCTGGGGCACGAGTGGGGTTTCTCACTGTTGACAGTACAAGCCTGGGAGGCACATGCCAGCTGCAGAAGAGACAATGGCCTCCGAGCATGGAGGAAACTCTCCCCGGACTCTTGTACCATTGAACTTTAGAAAGTGGAAGGTGAAAGGGAACCCCATTTCCTGTAGACCTTTAGCGCTTTATCCCGTCCAGGGAAAAGTGAGATGTGAGAGGGAAGAGGGACACTAGGTTCTTTAGGGAACTGAGTGATCTGGGAACCATCAGAGAGCTTCAGATTGCTTTCGACAAACACGATGGGGGAATGAGTCCCAACATGTCAGTCCTGGGCCAGTGGAGGTCCTTAGCTAGTTAATGTCCTGTGCTAACTGCTCTCTTGTTTCCTCCCCAGCCAAAAAGCAGGGCCAGAGTGGCATCATCTCCTGTATAGCCTTTAGTCCAGCCCAGCCCCTTTATGCCTGTGGCTCCTACGGCCGTACCCTAGGCCTGTATGCCTGGGATGATGGTTCACCTCTTGCCTTGCTGGGAGGCCACCAAGGGGGTGTCACTCACCTTTGTTTTCACCCTGATGGCAACCTCTTCTTCTCAGGAGCCCGAAAGGTATTTGTCGGAGCCCAAAGCATATGGGTAGTCAGGAGTGGGGATGTCATGTCATCTGTGACGTGTTGAAACGTGCCAAGTTTGAGGGACTCAGTGAGGGTGAGGTGGAATCAGGAGAGAGCGGCTGACTCCAGACCCCTGTTCTTACCTCCAGGATGCTGAACTTCTGTGCTGGGATCTCCGGCAGCCGGGCCACCTTCTGTGGTCTCTGAGTCGGGAAGTGACCACCAATCAGCGCATCTACTTTGATCTGGACCCGTAAGTGGCTGTGGCCCGTTCCAGGCTCAAGCAAGGATATCAGAGTCCCGCTGCAGGGTTCTAGGCCCCTGGATATGAATGGCTTCTACCCCAAGGATGATACCTGCCTGCCACGAGTCTCCCTTCTTTCCCAGGAGTGGGCAGTTCCTAGTGAGTGGCAGCACCAGTGGGATTGTCTCTGTGTGGGACATCAGTGGAGCTTCCAGTGACAGCAAGCAGCTGGAACCCGTGATGACTTTTCTGCCACAGAAGGACTGCACCAATGGAATCAGGTCCTCATTCACTGAAGGAGCTTGGGGCTGGGGTTCGGGAGGAAGGTGGATTTCTCAGGTAATTTCCTGACCTAGGTGCTGACAGACTGCTCTCTCCTCCAGCCTCCACCCTACCTTGCCCCTACTGGCCACTGCTTCTGGCCAGCGTGTGTTCCCCGAGCCCACCAATAGTGGGGATGAAGGTGAGCCGGAGCTGGAGCTTCCTCTGCTCTCCCTGTGCCACGCCCATCCTGAATGTCAGCTTCAGCTCTGGTGGTGTGGTGGGGGACCTGAGCCCAGTAGCCCCGATGACGACCTGGATGAGAAAGGACAAGGAAAGACAGAGGCTGTGGGGATGAGTTAATATAAAGACTTTGTATCACACTGGAGTCATTGTGTCTGTTTGGGGTGGCGCGTGACTGGTGGGAGGTTGGTAGAGGCGGTAGTAGGTTCCTTTGTCCAGCATCTGTGGGGTCTGGCATATTGTTCCCAAAACCAGGGGCTGAGAGGTGGGACCAGGCAGGAGCCAATGAGGTGCTGAGCGTGGTGTGAAGTCAAGCAGGTGGGGGTGGGGTCTCATGCCATTGACTGTGTGGTTGCTAGGCAACTTGGTAAACTGAGGAGCAAACCTGTTTGAAATCTCACTCCTGAGGTGGCTGCATCAGGGGTCAGGGTCCTGAGCAGGGGTGGCAGGAGCTCGGTGTCAGACTCTTGAGTGTGACTGTGTGGGACTAAGCAGACAGTGACAGACAAGTCAGTGCTGATGTCTGCACACCGCACTGTTTACCATCATCCAGCTGCAGAAGAGAAGGGTGCAAGACACGGTGCCCCACTGCATCCCAGTAGGCAGAGGCAAGGACACACAGGAAGGAGTAAATGGAAAAACACAGCTGCTTCTTATTGGTCTCCCTCTAGACTGCAGCGCCCGGGCAAGGGGCTTGCTTGTTCTTCGTGCTTCTCCATCTGTCCACTCTGCCCCCCTCCCCACACACCTTGTCAAATATCCAGAATGCGAGTCTTTGAAGAGATGCTGTCAACGGGGCCATGGTGGGGACCTCAGTCAAAGGGAAAGGAGCAGCCTGTGGAGGATTGGGCAGGAAGGAGAGGAATGTCGCCCCTGCCGGGAGGTGCTGAAAGCCTTGGTTCTTACACCCAAGAAGGCAGCTCCTCCCTTCCCCCAGGATAATTGGAAACAGCCCTTCCTGTGGATTGCAGCTTTGGGGTAATAGGTACCCCCTTTCTCTCCCAGTCTTACTTTTCTCCACGATCACCCAAGAAGGGCCAAAATTTACTACTCCCTAATCTCTTCACCTAACCCACAGAAAGCAGTAAAGGGTCAGAGTAGCTGTGACAAAAGGAACCCCAGGAAAGGCGGAGTTCAGCAGCCTAGGTTGTGTTTAGGGCTTTCCTAAACTCCCCGTGTGACCTTGGGCAAGTCACGGGGGTCCCCTCTCAACCTAGGGAGCTCTACCCTCTCCCACTTCACACAGGTAGCCCATCAACTTAGCGTTACTTTGTGAAGTGCCTCGCCTTCAAGGTTATCATTATCCTCTCCAGGCCGCCCGGAAAGCCGCGGTGTTGTTTTGGAATGGAAGAGGAACAGGCTTCGGGGAGCAAAGGGGGAAGGTTTTTCGGGGTGGAGAGGGCAAGAGCCTTTCTGGATGCTAGCGAGGAAGATTCCAAACGCTCAGGCAATCAGAGGGCAGGAAGGAAAGCAAGCAGAAACTCAGCCAGAGACGGACACTGCCAGAGACAAAGGGGGCGTGAGAGACCGCGCCGGGCAGCGAGGCGGGGTGGCGGACGGGAGGTGCGCGAGGTGAGGGAGGTGTGGGGGGCGTGGGCCGCGAGATGCGACGCCCGCTCCGACTGAGCTCCAGCTCCGGTTTTTCCCTCCACCATGCTCTCCCCCTCCCCGCCTCTCCTTTAACTCCCCCCTCCTGGGCTCGGGACTGGTTTCCTCCCTTAGCCCGCTGCCCTCAATCCCGGCGAGGCTGGGGCTCCAGCTCGGTGTCTCCTTCTTCGCTGCCTTGCCTGGCGCCCCATGTCGCCCCCGCCCGGCCCTCGGCTCCCCATGTCCCCCACGTAGCCGGGCGCACAAATCCCGAGGTGCGGCGCGTGGGCCGGGGGCGCATAGGGCGCCTGCAGACGGCCTCTGCAAGGGTTCTTGTGGGGCTGAGCGCTCTGGAGCCGGGGCGCAAGCATCGCAGAAAAGAGGGTCCTTGTGGGAGCTGGGGGTGACTAGCCACCCACCAGGGTGACTGGGGCTCCACAGCGTGGTAGCCACCCCTGGGGGTGAGAGACTTTGGGGGAGTTGGTGCCCCGCCCCCAGGCCTTGGTAGGGTCATGGGGGCCCCCCATTTTGGGCCAGGGGGTGTGCAAGTCGGGGCCCTGCTGCTGTTAGGTTTTGCGGGGCTAGTGTCTGGACTCAGCCTGGAGCCTGTCTACTGGAACTCGGCGAATAAGAGGTGAGTGGCCTGGGACTGGGGAGACTCCAGTCCCATGGATAAGGGATATGGAAGCTTTGAGACTTAACGGGCTAGAATTCTGAGCTGAGAGGAGGCTGGCAGAAGGGTGCTGTAGCACTGAGGTGAGGTGACAGGTTACAAGACAGAGCAATGATCTTGGGAGCCAGACTCCTAGTCTCAGAGCGCTGGATGTGGGTGGTGATACCATGTGTCAGGGCTTGCGAGACCTTTAAGGGGCAAAGATAAAGTTCTCGGGCAGCGGGAGGGCAGTGGAGTGGCTATTTGGATCTGGAGGAGACTTGTGTCATCTGCGTTGAAAGGAGCCTGGTTAATGTCAGCTCTCGGGAGAGAGGTGCTGAATGGGTGCTGCTGAGGCACTGAGGGGAAGGGCAGGGACGCCCAGCTCCCAGGAGGCACTCGGTGTTACAGATGAGAGGGAAGGGGGTTCAGTTTGGGGGCTATAGAAGAAGAGCCCACCCAAGGTTCTTTGACTCTCATTCTGTGTTCCAACTCGTGTTAACAGCCAGAGGACTAGTGAACCTTTGGCTGAACAGTTTATCAGCTAGAACACGTTCCTGTGTTCCTGGTTTGGTGGATTCTTTCTGGAGCCTGCTTCAAGGCTCCCTCCTTCCCTCTTGCCACTGGAGTCCTGAGGGTGCCATTGCCCTCTCCAGTCTTCTTGGCCACAAACCCTCCCATCGGGGACTCCGTTCCGTGGGCATGTTGGTCTGCTTGGAAAGAGGCCAAGGGTCAGTCACACAGGGCAGACAGAACCTACGGGAGGTCATCTAAGTGATTTACCTCTGTGACATTTCCTATCCCCGTCAGCCCAAGAGTTCTGTGTTTCAGAAACTTCCTCCTTCGCTGGGCAGTTGTGAGAGGTCGAGGGAGGGGGGAGCGGACCCAAGAGAGCTCATCAGGTACTTGGTCTTAACACTAGCTCTGCTCTTTACAGCTGTGTGGTCTTAGGCATGCCACTTAACCTCTCTGAGTTTGTATCTTCAGTCCTTACAGCTGTTTTGAGGATTGGAGGCAAGGTATTTGGACATATTATATACTCATGAAAGGAGAGGTAGGATTGGTTTTTTGTTTGTTTTTTTTTGTTTGTTTGTTTGTTTTGTTTTCTGGCCTCCCTGCCCTGTTCCAATCTTGGTACCCCCTCTCCCTCCTGTATCTCAGTGGGAATAATCAGTCTCAAGCTCTCCCACCTGCCAGCAACTCCTGGCTGCAGTTTTAGGAACTAAGTATACCTTGAGGATATAAATTGGGCTACCCTGATAGGGTTGAGACAAGGCACTGGGGCTTTCTGAGGTTCTTTTGGATGTTGGGTGGAAACTGGTCATTGGGAGTCTGGAAAGATGATGGACAATGGTCTTGTGGGACCCGGTTTCAAGGATGGATGCACAGGCGGGGCTTGCTGTGGTAGGTAGGTTGTGGCTGTGCTGGGCCCATCCGTTCCCGTTCCCTGGCTAACTGGCCAAGGAGATTGGATGCGGCTAGTGGTTTGTGTCAGCTGTGGTGACAGAAACCAACTCCTTCAACTCCACAGCAGGAGAGCACTTTCCTCAGAAAGTTTAAGCCCCAAGGTGGAACACAGGAGAATGATCTGAGTTGTTGGCATCTATACTTCATTCTCATCAGCCCCATTTTGGTTATTGCCAAACTAGCATTTGCCTCATGTCTCATTAACTGGCTAACTCGGGGAGCTGGTACAGATCACGCCCCCCACCCCCAACCTTTTCCTTACCCCCCTTTGCCCTGAAATTCAGTGGTGGCCTGGAGGAGGGGGAGGTTCCGTCCCCATGGTTGACTGCCATGGAATAGTGAAATCACCTGGGAGGGGTAGGCTGTGTGGTTCCAGAGAGGCCAGCTCCTTGGTAACTGGCATCCTGTTACCATGGCAACGGCACCGGTGATGGAGCGGGAGATGGCAGTGTGCATGTGGTGAGGGCGGGCTGAAGAGTGCATTTGGGCACACCAAGGGGCAGGAGACCTCTGAGCCTGGCTTCCTGCTGCTTCTGATGTGAGCCTGCAGAGCCCTTAGTGCCCGGGCTTACTGAGCACAGGACTCAAACAAAGGCAATGGGCGGGAGCTAAGAATTGCTGTCCTAGATGGTTGGGAGTGAGAGAAGGAAAGCTTTGGACACCCCACCCCTGACACCTCTTCCCTGCCTGCCTTGTCTCCCTGTAGGTTCCAGGCAGAGGGTGGCTACGTGCTTTACCCTCAGATCGGGGACCGGCTAGATCTACTTTGTCCCCGGGCCCGGCCTCCTGGCCCCCACTCCTCTCCTAGTTATGAGTTCTACAAACTATACCTGGTAGGGGGTGCCCAGGGCCGGCGTTGCGAGGCACCCCCCGCCCCAAACCTTCTTCTCACATGTGACCGGCCAGACCTGGACCTCCGCTTCACCATCAAGTTCCAGGAATACAGCCCTAACCTCTGGGGCCACGAGTTCCGATCCCACCACGATTACTACATAATTGGTACTGCCAGACATCGGGCAGGGGCAAATAGAGCATCCCTGGGATGGAGGGGGAGGAAGGTTAGGGCCATTGGAATCCACCACTGTGTGTTCAGTAGTGCTCCCTTGGCATTCAGTAGTGCTCCCCACAAGGAATGGGAGGGCTGGACCCAGGAGTGCTGACCTCTTCTCCTGCTCTTATTTTCAGCCACATCAGATGGGACCCGGGAAGGCCTTGAGAGCCTGCAGGGAGGTGTGTGCCTAACCAGAGGCATGAAGGTGCTCCTGCGAGTAGGACAAAGTAAGTGGGGCCAGGGGATACCTGCTAGGAGCTGACGGAAGTTTAGGTGGTACATGCAAATCAGGGGCAGTTCTCTCAGCCCCTTTCTCTTGTATCTTTCTCATCTTTAGGTCCCCGAGGAGGAGCTGTACCCCGAAAACCTGTGTCTGAAATGCCCATGGAGAGAGACCGAGGGGCAGCTCACAGCCTAGAGACTGGGAAGGACAGCATACCAGGTAGGAACCAGGGGCTAGGCACTGCCTCCTCTACTCCCAGACCCCAGCTGCCCTGCCTTCACCCTCTCCTGCCCTCCCTCTCCTGTTTTGGGGGCGGCGATACAGGAAAGAGGAGAAGAGAGGATGGGAGGGTGGGAGGGAAGTGGAAGCCAAATGAGGAAAAGACTCAATTAGAACTAATTAGCCAAGTCACTGCTTCAATCAGTGCTGTCAGAGAAGTGGGGGGGGGACTACATGGCAAGGAGCTGGAGGCTGGACACCTGGATTTCGATTCCGGTTTGGGGGAAGGAATGTGGGGTACCTAAGGGGCCTGGGTACTGCTGGGGAAGCCCGTGGGGACCCCCAGGTCTGGGTGTATCCAATATCCAGATGGTTCCTTCAGCCCCTCCCCCTCTTTCCTCCTTCACCCCTTCCCTGCCAGGTGACCCCAACAGCAATGCAACCTCCCGGGGTGCTGAAGGCCCCTTGCCCCCTCCCAGCATGCCTGCAGTGGCTGGGGCAGCAGGGGGGCTGGCGCTGCTCTTGCTGGGCGTGGCAGGGGCTGGGGGTGCCATGTGTTGGCGGAGACGGCGGGCCAAGCCTTCGGAGAGTCGCCACCCTGGTCCTGGCTCCTTTGGGAGGGGAGGGTCTCTGGGCCTGGGTGGCGGAGGGGGGATGGGGCCTCGGGAGGCTGAGCCTGGGGAGCTAGGAATAGCCCTGCGGGGTGGTGGAGCAGCAGATCCCCCCTTCTGCCCTCACTACGAGAAGGTGAGCGGTGACTATGGGCACCCTGTGTATATTGTGCAGGATGGGCCCCCCCAGAGCCCTCCGAACATCTACTACAAGGTATGAGGGCTCCTCCCACTTGGCTCTCCTCAATCCAGCCGCCCATGGGGTGCTCCTCCAGTGTAATTCATGGTATGAGGGACACCTGCGCCATGATTTGGCCCCCTTTGCCCCACCAGCTCTTTGGCTCCTCCTGGCTATAACCTTCATCTCCAGTGTTAGGATCCCTTAAGACTACACCTCTTCCTGCCCTCCCCAACGACCCCTTTGGTTGTGGGCACTCCTCTGTCTCTGCCTCTTAGGGGAGGGGGCACAGGCTCAGCCTCCCTTAATCACTACACAGGTGTCCTTTCTCCCTCACCCACGCAGAGTGGGGGTGGGAATGGTCTGTCTTTTGGTTGGCACCTCTTTCTGCCTCTCACCGTTTTTCTCTTCTCTCTATCTCTTATTCTGTCTCTCTCTCTCCTGTGTCTAGGTCTCTTCTCTTCCTCCTCCCTAGCCTCCTTCTCCTTACATCTCCTTTTACCCTCTTGGCTTCTTGTCCTTCCTGTGCCTCTCACGTGTCTCCTGGGTTGGGGCATCAAAGTATCTTTCCCCTCTGCTCTTGGCCCTTTCCAACTTTTCATACCAACCGCTTCCCTTCCGTCCGCCAAAAATGGGGGCTTCTGGGGCAGGGGAAGATTCTGGCACTCTACCCCCCAGCTCCAGGCATGGGCACAGGGCCTCTTTCCCTGCCTTTCTGTGTACTTAACTCCAGCCATTTGGGGAGGTTACTGGGCCACAACTACTACCACGAGAAGAAGTGTCCTGTTGTACCCAGTGGCTGATAGGAAGACGTGAAACAGTGTGGACATGATGGACTGGGTCTGATGCCGAATGGGCAGCAGATAGGAAGTGACTCGTTCCAGACAAGAAGTGACCAGGCCTGGACAGAAATGGCCTGGGAAGTGGCAGCAGCAGGAACTGGAAGTGCCTTCATCCAGAACAGGAAGTCGCACTTCTGAAATAGGAAGTGGTCTGGCTGGAATTCCAAGTGGCTTAGTCTGGGGAGGTTGTGGGGGTGGGGGTGGGGGCATGGGAAGTGGATGGTTCTTACCCTGTGGAGAAAGGGGCAGGAGGAACTAACTTCCTGCTTTAGGAGGAAGCTGGAACTTACCACTGTGAGAGGACAGATGTGGACTGAGAATTGTCTTAGTGTTCAGTGGCCCTTCCTAAGGCCCCCTCCCCTTGTGCTCTGTGCGGTTTTTTAGGACAGCTAAGATGACTGCCACCTGCTGTGGCAGGCCCAATTTGTCTTGTTCTCCCCTTACTGTACCCCAGTATAATCTCTGTTGATCAACAGGACTACCCCAAGAACCCACATGTTCTCCCCCAGTAACCAGACGGCTGTCTGGTTCATGCCTTCCTCCCTTCAAACCCAACACAGCGCCCTTGTTAGTGAAGAGGTGGTCCATGGACTGGTCTAGCTGATGGCAGTTATTAGCACTGGTTGCTGTTTCCATAGTGACAAGCCTATACCTCTTCCCGCTCTCTAGTGTGCAGTGGGCTGCTGCCTCAGTGTCCTCACAGCTCAGTGTTATTAGATCAGAGCTGCCCTTAGGCACCACGTTGGCCACCTCAATCACCAGCCAAAATGGCTGCTTTGTCCACCAGAGGTCAAGTCATCTCTCTGGCGCTGTAGTTCCCAGCTCCTTCTAGGGAACAGGAAGTTGATATTGCCATTGGGGAGGTGACGGGGTATGGCCGTCATCTCAATAGTTTTACTGTAAAAGGGAAATTTGAACAACAAAAAAATAGAAAAAAAAAAATAAAAAACTTTAAAAGTTGACCAGAAGGCTGGAAAATGACTGGACATGAATCTGGGGATCAGAATGGCTTTCAGGCTGAGGGTGGGTCACAGGGAACTGGGGGGGGGGGCTGGAGAAAGAACACTGGTTGGGGTTGTGAGGTGGGCAGTTTCTAGAGAGGGAATCATGAGCTCAGAAGGCTGAGGAAGGAAACCACCTGTAGAGAGGACCATGCTGGACGCCCCAGTAGTGATGTGTGTCGACACTGGTCACACGTGGGAGAGGACGCAGTCACCATTAGCAGCACTGTGGTGCTAATGTGCACGTGTGTGAAGGTCTGTTCCCTATAACCCCTCCCCAAGGTACTTGGGGAGTTTTCTTGTTGGGGATAGAGCTGATGAAAAAATTGTAGGACGACCCCAGGGGCTCAGGCATCGAGTGTGTCTGCTTATACACCTAGGCTCTTCTCCCCCAAAAGCCCAGGTGCCCATCCCCCTAGACACTACCCCATTCTCCAGCCACAAAAGCTGCCATGAGTAACATCGCTGGAGCGAGTCCACAGGGTCACAACCTCTGCCCTGGCTGCCCTCCCCTGACTTAAGGTTCCCTCCCACTGTCTCGCATCTGCCTGGAGGTCAAGGGGTCCCCCTTTTCCCTACCCATCTCAGCAAGATGCCTGGGTCCTATGAGGTATATAGGTACTGGAGGAGGAGAGTTGAAAACTGAAAGACCAGGTACTGGGCTGTGTGGAATTTCCTCTTCTGAGCCCACACTGGAGCTACCCAAAGTGGGGAGGCTTGAGGGGGTTGGAAGGGCTGGTCCCTGGCCCTTAGTGGGGGTTGGTCGTCTTGGAAACATCCCCTTCTCTACACAATGGGAAGCCCCCCTCAGCCTCCCGCGTGGATGGAGCCGACAGCCCCATCGCTGGCTATCAGCCTCAGGGACTTGGCAACCGTCACTATGGCAACACAGAGCCCAGCAACAGGGCCCACTGAGAAAGGGAGGGGTCCAAGACTGGGGCAGGGCTGTGTGAGGGGACAAGGGCTCTGAGAGTCCCCTTGACACAAACATCCAGAGATACAGGTGGATACAAGAGGGGAGAGAAGTAGAGATAAACAGTCTTTGTGACAAACACATCACCAGAGCAGCCAGGCCATCATAACACGATGAGAGACAGGAAGACACCTGGGGATGGATGCACAGCTGGGAAGAGAAACAGCACATACTGCACAGCCCCTGGGACACACCCCCTCTGAGTACTGGCATCCACAGACCCCCTGCCAACCACCTGACATTCACAACACCTACAGCCTTTCACATGCGCAGTGACTTGCCTGTCTTTTAAGCTATTTGAAAATGCTGGTGACTTCCACACAGAACCACACATGCCATCTGTTGGCTTTCTGGATACAAGTACACACACACACAGACACACACAGACACACACACACACACTCTCCCAGGGTAACAACTATGACAAGAATAGAAGGGAGGGGAGCTACTCCTTCATCCATTTGTTCATTCAGCCGCTCCAACATGTCTACTGTGTTCCTGGTGCCACTTCAGCACTACGTGTTAAGGCAAAAATCCCTGCTTCATAAAGTCACATTTTTTGTCTATTGACTGTTTTTATGCCCCCTTCAACAACCTCCGCCACGGTGCTAGTGTCAAACCTAGAGCCTTGAACATGCTGACAAGAACTCTATCATTGAGCCACGCCCCCCCAGCCCCAGGTTCATTTTTAAAAAGATGTATTTATTTAATTTGAATATTTTTGCCTGCATGTATGCATGTGCACCTTGTCTGTGTCTCATGCCTGACGAGGTTCTGAGGGTGTCAGATCCTCTATGAGCAGAGTTACAGACTCGTTGAGCCTTGTGTAGGTGCTGAGAGCCCAACCTGGGTCCTTTGCAAGAGCAGTAGGTGCTCTAATCTCTGACCCTCTAGCCTCCCTCTCACCTGCATTTGAGACAGGATCTTACTCTAGCCCAGGGTGTTTGTTTGTTTGATTGACTGATTGATTTTAAGACAGGGTCTTGCTGGTCAGTGGTGGCATACACCTTTGATTTCAGCACTCAGGAGGCAGAGGCAGGCAGATCACTGTGAGTTCAAGGACAGTCTGGTCTATAGAGAGAGTTCCAGGACAGCCAGGGGTCTGGAAAAACAAATCAAAACCAACCAACCAAACAAACCCAAAACAAACACAGAAGGTAGAGTTTTGTCATATAGACCAAGATGGCCTCAAACTCAAGAGATCTGCCTGCCTGCCTTCACATCCTGACTGCTGGGACAAAAGGTGTGCAACTACATTTCTGGCCTGTGTTTAGCTTCTGAAGTCCACAGTTTAAAACATATACATATACATATGAATATGTATATATGTATATATGTATGTATATATATATATATTTTTTGTTTGTTTGTTTGTTTGTTTGTTTTTTCAAGACAGAGTATCTCTGTGTAACTGGACCGTGGCTATCCTGGAACTCACTTTGTAGACCAAGCTGGCCTCAAACTCAGAGATCCGCCTGCCTCTGCCTCCCGAGAGCTCGGATGAAAGCCAAGCGCCACCACACCCCACTTGAAGTCAAAATTTTGATGGAGAACGGCATAGAGGCTGAGGTGGGAGAAGTCTGAAGCCAATCTGGGTGGATGAGACCCTGTGGAGAACAAAACAAGACCAAACAAACAAAGGAAACTCAGGGGAACAAGGGAAACCTTTCAGGTTCAGAGGTCAGAGATTACTGGTGGGCCAACCAGGAACTGTGACGGGAGGGCAGAAGCAGAGATGCAAAGGGAGAGACTTTGACATGTTTAGTAATAACAAGGGCATCCTCCTTATTTTTGTTTCGGCGTTCCCTGTCAGTCCCTAGCCACAGCCCAGGGGCAGAAAGTCACTCTAAGAAGCTGCTCTAGTCAGGTGTGGTGCACACACTTTTAATCTCAGCACTCAGGAGGCAGAGGCAGGTGGAGCTCTCAGTTTGAGGTCAGCCTGGTCTACAGAGTGAGTTCCAGGCCAGCCTGGGCTACACAGAGAAACCCTGTCTCAAAGAGAGATGGGAGGGGGTGAGGAAGGTAGATGGGAAAAGAAAAGGAAGGAAGGAAAGGAGAGAGAGAGAAAGAGAGAGAGAGAAAGAGAGAGAGAGAGAGAGAGAGAGAGAGAGAGAGAGAGAGATAGATCCCAGCTGCTCATCTGGCTCGGTCTCCAGTGCCTGCCTTCCTTGTTTCTTGTGTGTAGAGTACTTGTTCTACTCAAAGACTTTTTAAGCCCAAGGAGGGCAAAGATGATGCTTTGAGGTTTTGGAAGACATAAAATCCTGAGCAGGAAACTGAGTGTGAGATGGCAAGAACTTGTAATCCTAGCACTTGGGAGGTGTGGAGGGAGGAGGCTTGTGAGTTTCAGGCCAGTGTAACCTATGAAATGAAACCTTATCTCACATAAACGACACAATGAGAAGAGCCATGTCCAGAGCGGGTGAGCAGAGCAGAACTAACAAAATAAGTAGTCGAGGGGCTATGCCTAAGCTGCCCTTCCCAACAGTGCAAGGGAGGTCGAGCTAGGCAGTCCTGGGAGCTGAGCTGCAGCGGTGCAGCTTAAGGGGCACAACTTCCACCCGTTCGGAGTAAGGTGTTGGGGAGCAATACGAGAAGGGGTGAGGAGGTGCAAGAGGATTTCTGTTTTAAACGCACATGTATGTGCGTGGGGTGGGGAGCATGCATGCAGGCCATGGCATGTGTGTGGAGAGCAGAGGCCAGGTTGCCAGAGTTCTGCCGCATGGCTCCCAGGATGGAACGCTGGTTATCAGGCTTTGCAGCAGGTGTCTTGACTCACTGAGCCAGTTCACCAGACTGCAATAAAAATATCCGGTGGGTAATGGTTGATGTTACAAACCGAGATTTAAGTTAGAATGAAATGTGGAGCCGGGCAGTGGTGGCACTCGCCTTTAATCCCAGCACTTGGGAGGCAGAGGCAAGCGGATTTCTGAGTTCGAGGCCAGCCTGGTCTACAGAGTGAGTTCCAGGACAGCCAGGACTACACAGAGAAACCCTGTCTCAAAAAAACAAAACAAAACAAAACAAAAGATGAAATGTGGGGCTTTCTAAAGGGAAAGTGGGCACCCACAGACACGGGGCTCCCCTTTCCCAGGTCTGCAGGCCGGCTGGGAAAGGACCTGCAGGGTGGTTCGGAGGCAGGGTGCTGGCTTGCCTGAGCTTGGAGTGGTAGGTAGGGGCTAGAAATTAAGACACAAAATGAATGGCCAGTACTGAGTAGCAAGAGTCATATGTGGCAGGGCAGGTGTCCGGAGGGAGTTCAAAGCCACCAGGTTCCAGGTAGCCATGATTCTCATGAGGGAATCGAAGCAGTTCAGTTCCTGGTTCCCTGAACTTAGGCATCAGCTCCCCCAGTGGCACTGACTGGTGGGGTGGGGGCGCCCACGAGCAGCCTCAGGGGGCAGCAGCTGGTGAGTGAAGAGGAATCTGTGTGCTCAGCAAACAGCAGCCTTGGTGTGCACGGGCTTCTTCCTCCCTCATCCATCAGCTTCAGCCAAATGTCCCTGCATTCCCACCACCCCAAGGGGACTGGGGCTGGGCCAGGGTTCCCAGGGGAGTGAGAAGGGGGGTGGGGAGCTGGGGTGGGGCTTTAGTTTCCATCCGTCTTTGGCCTGTGTTCTCTTCTCTTTGGAAGCCCTCAGTTCCTCATGTCGTGGAATGACTCTTTCCTGGCTCCTGCCACTGTGGGGGCATCAGCTACAAATCACCTGTGGAGGGGCTGCTGGTGGAAAAAGGGGGCAGAGTGATGAGTCAGGGCAGTGGAAGAATCCACTCTGGTTCTCACGGGACCGGTCCAGGGCATGGTCAGTAGGGAGGTTGCTGGCACGGAGGCCCTGTCTCCCACACTGGCCTTCTCTCCTGATGGATGCTCTGGTCAGCCAGTGGAGAGACCCTGACCCCATGGACATCTGTCCTTCCAGCTTCTCCTAGCACCCAAGCCTCATTCCCTACTTCTCACTAAGAGGTATGGCACCTACCTCACCCAAAG